CACTGTTGCCATCTTCCTTGGGGGTGCTTTCCTCTCTCTCTCTCTCTCTCGCTCGCTCGCTCGCTCTCTCTCTCTGGTGAGTGCACATGTCCTGTAGCAAAACGAACAAACATGAATAAGAGATTTAAATCCAAGCTTTCTTTTTTCAAAACCACGTGCAGTGGTTCACTAGGCCTCACCATCGCTTGTTTAAACAATTGCAGTAGCCTCCTCAGTAGTCTTTCAGCCTGTCGTCTCTCCCAATTCCTGTTCACTGTCATCACTCAGATTTATTTTCCTTCAAATTATGTTGACATTTCTGGTTCAGGATATGATGACCTAATCTTTCTGCCGAAAACAACTATAAAAGCTTACATACAAAACAACTGTGTGAAGGAACTGGAAAGCACCCAATTCCGGCAAAGGAAAGGTTGTAATCCTTCAGAGAGAAGCACAGGAGGTGGGCTCTACTCTCACTGGGACTTTTTCTCTGAAGGCGTTTTCTAGTTCCCAAAATAGGGGAAATAGGCCCAAGCAGAATTCTTACCGGGCTGAGAAACAGATCCACATTTGAGGCTGCCAGTGTGACTAGGATTTAAGGGGGAAAACTGTACAGAGCAGGGACTCGGGGTGAAGTGAAATGAAATGAGCCTTCCCCTGTCTTTCAGGTCACTGGCTAATTCCTTAGTTACACATGCCTGGAGTGAGACTCCCCCAGACTCGGCAGAAAACAGGATCTGAGAGAAAAAAAGAGCTGAGTGAAAATGTAATTAAATAGCAATGCTGCAAAGGTAGACACTTGAGGTCAACCCAGGCAAGATGAAGGGGTAAGTACCCTGGGCTTTGGGTTGAGATGTGGAGGCATTATATACTTACTAGGAGTAAGGGCAGCGCTGAAATAGAAGAGACTTAACGACAAGTAAAACCATCCCTCAAGAGAATCAAAATAATCCTCTTGTCTTTAGCTCCTGAAAAAAAATGTAACCTTCTTTGGAGAGGTAATGTCACTGGCTGGCCCAATGAAGTCTCATTTCTTTTTTTAGGAATTATTTTATTTAACTTTATTTATCTATTTTAATTTGATCAGAGAGAAAGACAGTGAGCAAGTGAGCGAGTGAGAGAGTGAGAAGCAAGCTGCCAGGTCTAGGACCTGAACTGTGGTTGGCCATGTGGGAATTCAGTGCCTTTAACCACCATGCCACCTGCTGGCCCCATAAAGTCTTATTTTTGCTTATAAATTATCTAGCTTTAGGTATATCTGTCATTAGCCACACAGTGGACTAGAACAGACTGGTTTATATAAAACAAAAAGCAATAATTCTATCTTATAGGAATTTGAATATATGGAGAAGTAAAGCTATATGATATTAGTACAATAAGTGAGAGATAAAAGGAGTTAAACTATTGTAAAATCTTCCCCTTTATGGGTCAGCTGGTGACATGGTGGTTAAGGTGGGTGGATTGCATATGGCCAACTGTCAGTTCGAATCCCAGACACAGTAGCTTGAAAAACACACTGGGCATATGTGTGTACCCAAAATCCCAAGGGGAGAATGGAGAAGGGATTTTGATGTAGCCATCTCTCTTTGGGATGATTTCTCACTCTCTCTCTCTGAGGAGTGCATGTGCCCTATAGTAAAAGAGAAAAAAAAAAATCTTCCACTTTTAGGAATTGTAGAAATGAACAATTAGAGCTCAACTGTAACAAGTCTATGGTGTGTGTTGTATTCTACCCTTGCATAACCATCCCAAAATTTACTGGTCTGAAACAATCACAGCATTTATTTTGCTCACTGCAATTTAGACGGTGCCACTGGGGAAGGCTTATCTTTGCTCTGCATCCGTTAGCATGGCTCAAAGGCTGGGTGCTAGAACTCTCTGAAGCCTTGGCTAGCTCATCTGTCTAGAAGCTGATGCTGATATTGACTGGAACCCCATGGCCCTATGCCCAGAACACCTAAATCAAACTATGAGATTAAGTGGTGGGCCTGCTGCATGGTTGGAAAAACATACCAGGCACATGTGTGTGCATGTCCCAAATCCTGACAGGATAGAGAAATGAAGAAGGGATTGTGCTATGACCACCACACCATATCGGGGTAAGAAGGGGTGCTTTCTCCTTTTCTCTTTGTTTTTCTGTGTCTCCCTGGCTTTTGAAGGAGGGCATTTTTCAGCCTACTATATCCCTATTTTGATTGATCGTTTACATGTTGACCTTTGGATATCTTCTATGAAGCATCTGTTCAAGTCTTTTGCTCGTTCTCATTTTTAAAAATTGGGCTACCTTTTGAAACTTTTTGTTATGTGTTATTTATATTTTCTACATTTAGTCAGGTATATTTATTGAAAATATCCTTCCCAAGTTGCTTGGGGGAGACAAATAAACATAAGAATTAATGAAAATAGGAAGAGGCAAAGGAATAGTCCATGACAACAGAGGAAAAAACATGGACAATTTAATACATACTACAAAAACGACTTAGTACGCCCATTAACAGATGTACACACTATAATGTAATGTTCAGTGTTGAAGAAGATTAATATGGGTATTGTACACTGTATGCATGCCTTAAGAAAACCATACTGTAGCCCACAAAAATATACATCAATTATACATAAACCAGAAATAATAATTACAAAAAAAATACTTTCCACGTTGATGACTGAGTGGGGTTTGAAAAGATACATGCTTTTTCCAACAGTATGGCTCTTTTACAAAGAAGGAAAAATAAATTATGAGAGAGTCATAGAACTGAAAACAAGTTTAAAAATGTACACTTAATTATCCTGGATGTTTTTATCCAAAGGGAAGCAGCAAAATGAAGAGTACAGATATAAGATTTGGAATCCACATTTTTAAGTTATTTTATTTATTATTATTATTATAAGTTTGCCATAGGGCACGTGTGCTCACCAGAGACAGAGAGAGAGAGAGAGGGAGAATGAGAAAGCAAGCTACCAGGTCCAGGACTCAAACTGTTGTCGACCATGTGGGAGGTTAGTGCCTTAACCTCCACACTACCTGCTGGCCCCTGGAATCCACATTTTATTTATTATCAATGATCAATTTATCAACTTTTTAAACTTTTTTTTTAGATTTTGCTGTAAGACACATGCACTTGTCAGAGAGAGACACAGAGAGAAACTGAGAAAGTGAGAAATCACCCGCTAGGGGGATGGCTATCCCACAATCCTTCTTCTCCAGCCTCTTTTTTTTATTATTATTATTAATTTATTTTTCTTTTTTTAACATTAATATGCTATACATCATTACAGTAGGAATTTAGGACATGCACACATGCATGCACCTTGTGTGATTTTCAAGCCACCGAGTCCAGGACTTAAACTGTACAGCTGGCTATATGGAATCCAGTGCCTTTACATCTACATCACTTCTTGGCCCTGAGCAAATTTTTTCTTGAAAGCTTATTTATTTTTTCTATGAGCCAGAGAGACATAGAGACAACAATCCCAATAGGGCCCCAATGCTGCCATCCATTCTGAGCCATAACCAGCCTTAGATTGTGACATGTGTGTCCAGAATGCACAGGGAGGTCTCCAGATGCAATTCCAGGACCTTCCCGTGTGGCTGTCATGCAAGCTCTCATTTTCCACTACCACACCACTATCCAGCCCCACCCGAGCAATGTTTACAACTTCGCTGAACCTTGGTTTCCTCATATGCAAGCTGGAGCTACTACTACCACCTCATGATATGTTAACTGAGGTGACAGTCACGAAACCCTCTACCACTTGTCCAATTACAGAGCTCCAAAGTCCTAACCTATAGGTTGAACTCACAGGAAGATCGGGTGATACAAGGTGCTGCTTTAAGTTTTTTTTATAGCTAGAAGAAGAAAATTGGCAAAGCATGTAGTTGCTAGACAGTTTTATTTAATACCTTACATATTTGAGTAACTGATTAAAAAGCAAATGTTAATCAGTGTCTTAGAGTTGCACAAAAGGAGAACAAAAGAGAAAGTGATGGTTTCTTTGCCAGATTCATCTGGATGCAGGGCCCACTCAACCTAGAGCTTTAAAAGCAGCAGTTAGAATGAATACTGTTCTTAAGAGTCACGGCTCCCAGGAGTCGTGTTTTCTTTGTTTCTAGATGCTGTAGATGTAACATATGTAGAAACATGTATCTTCTCACATGGATTAGACATCAAAAGCATATCAACTAAAAAGTGAAAAAGAATACATTCAGATGTTAAATTATTGAGCTGTATAATAAATACAAATTCATTAATTTTCTAAAAGGACTCCCTCCAAAAAAAAAAAAAACCAATATTAATGAAGAGAAGTCTTTTTCATCATTCTCAAAAATTCTTCCTCATTTATTTGTCCATCCCCATCACGATCAGCTTCATCAAGCATTTCCTGTAAAAGAAAATGTAAGTGTGATACATGAAAGCTATTAAAAGTAAGTAATGCAGGTCAGTAGATGGCACCAAGGTTAAGGCAGCTGGATACCACATGGCCAACAGTGTGGTTCGAGCCCTGGACCCAGTGACTTGAGGGACACTCCAAAAGGATGTGTGTGTGTGCCCAAAAATTCTGAGAGGAAAATGGAGATTTTTTCTTGAAAGCTTATTTATTTTTTCTATGAGCCAGAGAGACATAGAGACAACAATCCCAATAGGGCCCCAATGCTGCCATCCATTCTGAGCCATAACCAGCCTTAGATTGTGACATGTGTGTCCAGAATGCACAGGGAGGTCTCCAGATGCAATTCCAGGACCTTCCCGTGTGGCTGTCATGCAAGCTCTCATTTTCCACTACCACACCACTATCCAGCCCCACCCGAGCAATGTTTACAACTTCGCTGAACCTTGGTTTCCTCATATGCAAGCTGGAGCTACTACTACCACCTCATGATATGTTAACTGAGGTGACAGTCACGAAACCCTCTACCACTTGTCCAATTACAGAGCTCCAAAGTCCTAACCTATAGGTTGAACTCACAGGAAGATCGGGTGATACAAGGTGCTGCTTTAAGTTTTTTTTATAGCTAGAAGAAGAAAATTGGCAAAGCATGTAGTTGCTAGACAGTTTTATTTAATACCTTACATATTTGAGTAACTGATTAAAAAGCAAATGTTAATCAGTGTCTTAGAGTTGCACAAAAGGAGAACAAAAGAGAAAGTGATGGTTTCTTTGCCAGATTCATCTGGATGCAGGGCCCACTCAACCTAGAGCTTTAAAAGCAGCAGTTAGAATGAATACTGTTCTTAAGAGTCACGGCTCCCAGGAGTCGTGTTTTCTTTGTTTCTAGATGCTGTAGATGTAACATATGTAGAAACATGTATCTTCTCACATGGATTAGACATCAAAAGCATATCAACTAAAAAGTGAAAAAGAATACATTCAGATGTTAAATTATTGAGCTGTATAATAAATACAAATTCATTAATTTTCTAAAAGGACTCCCTCCAAAAAAAAAAAAAACCAATATTAATGAAGAGAAGTCTTTTTCATCATTCTCAAAAATTCTTCCTCATTTATTTGTCCATCCCCATCACGATCAGCTTCATCAAGCATTTCCTGTAAAAGAAAATGTAAGTGTGATACATGAAAGCTATTAAAAGTAAGTAATGCAGGTCAGTAGATGGCACCAAGGTTAAGGCAGCTGGATACCACATGGCCAACAGTGTGGTTCGAGCCCTGGACCCAGTGACTTGAGGGACACTCCAAAAGGATGTGTGTGTGTGCCCAAAAATTCTGAGAGGAAAATGGAGAAGGGATTGTGGTGTGGCCATCTGCCTTGAGGAGGTGAGTTCTCACATTCTCTCTTTGTCTCTCTCTCTAGTGAAAGCACCTGCCCTATAGCAAAATAAAATAAAGTGACTATCCAAACACATACTCAAAAAAACACATTTTATTTTAAATGTGTGAGTACAGTTAAAGTTAGAATATAATTATAATCCTAAATGACAGGCATACCTCATGTTACTGTGCTTTCCGATTTACATTTTGCAGAGACGCCATGCTTTACCAATGGAAGGTTGGTGGCAACCCTGCATCCAGCAAGTGCATTGGCACCATTTTTTAACAGTGCGTGCTCACTTCGTGTCTGTCATGGTATGGTGATTCTTGGTGACCTGTGATCAATGATCTTTGATGTTACTATTGTCATTCTTTGGGGCACCATGAAGAACTGTGCCCATATGAAACAGCAAATTTTAAAATATGTATGCATGGTTTTTGGAGAGGTTTTTGCTATAGGGCACGTGCGCTCACCAGATGGACAGAGAGAGACAGAGAGACAGAAAGTGAGAAATCACCCCCCAGGGGAAATGGCCATGCTGCAATCGCTTCTCCTCCATTCTCCTCTCAGGATCTTGGGCACACACACACACACACACACGCCCCGTGTGAATTTAAGCCACTGGGTCTGGGAATCGAACTGCGGTTGACTACATGGGAGTCCAGCAGCATAGCCATTATGCCAACTGCTGGTATCCCCCCCCCCAATTTTTTAAACATTTATTCATTTAGTTATCTATTTATTGGGTCATTAGGAAAGTCATAATGTGTTTTTCTATGCAAAAATGCATCTTGACTTTCCCAACAACCTAACGTTTGTTGTGATTTTTCAAGCCGCTGGTTCTGGACTCAAACTGTGGTTGGCCATGTGGGAATCCAGCGCCCTAACCACCATGCCACCTGCTGGCCCTTAAAACAGTAAATTTAATTAATAAACGCTGCATGTGTTCTGAATGTTCCACTGGCCAGCCATTTCCGTCTGTCTCTCTCCTTGAGCCTCTCTATTCCCTGAGACACAGTATTCGAAAATGAGGGCAATTAATAACCTTATAACATAACAGTGGCCTCTGAGTGCTTATGTGAAAGGAAGAGTCGCATTGGGAGCTGGATCTCACAAGGCCAACTGCAGTTCAAATCCTAGCCCAGCAGTTTAAAAAATATTGCATGTTTAAAAAATATTTCCCTGACAGGATGGGAAAATGAAGGAAAAGGGATTGTGGTGAGATCACATCCCGTTGGGAGGGTGCTTTCTCATGCATGTATTAATGTACATGCCCTCTGGCAATAAAAAATAATAATACAAATCAATGACTAGGCTTAGTAGTGGAGAAGGTGTGTCGAAAGCTGAGTTAGGCCAAAATTTAGGCCTCTTGAATTGAGTAGCCAGGTTCTGAATGCAAAGGAAAAATTCTTGAAAGAAATTAAAAGTGCTACTCCAGTGAGCACACCAACGAAATGGTAACCAGCCATGGAGATTCCTCCGATGGATCTGGGCAAAGTAGACTGAAAACCCTCTGGAATGAATACACCATTCTAGATGCTGTTATGAACATTCATGATTCGTGAGAGGAGGTCAAAATATCAGCCTCAATGGGAATTTGGAAGAGTCAGTGAAGGAAGGAACTGCAGATGTGGTGGCAATAGCAAGAGAATTCGAATTCAAAGTAAAGTCTGAACACGTGACTGAACTGCTGCACTCTCATGATAAAACGTGAAAGGATGAAGACTTATTTCTTAGTCATGGGAAGGAAAGTGGTTTCTTAACACAGAAGCTGCTCTGGGTGAACATGACGACAAAGGATTTAGAATACTGCATAAACAGAGTACTAAAGTAATGGCAGGGTTTGAGAGGACTGACTCTGATTTTGAAAGAAGTTATGGGACCAGCAGGTGGAGTGGTGGTTAAGGCACTGGACTTCCACATGGTCAACAAAGTTTCGAGTCCTGGACCTGGTGGCTTGAAAATCACCCCTGGCACATGAGCATGCATGACCAAAATCCCAGGAAGAGAATGGAAAAGGAATTGTAGCATGGCCACCCCCCTTAGGGGGTGATTTCTTACTTTCCCCGTCACTGTCTCTGTCTCTCTCTCTCTGGAGAGTGCACACACCTTGTGACAAAAAACTTTTAAAAAAAAGTTTCTACTGTGGATTAAAAGAAAGTTTCTACTGTGGATTAAAAAAAAGTTTCTACTGTGGATAAAAAAGAAGTTTCTACTGTGGATAAAATGCTACCAAACAGACAATATCAGGTGTGATAGAGAAATCTTTCATGAAAGACAAAAAAAAAAAAAAATCAATCGATATGGCAAACTTAACAGCTGACTTAAGAAATTGCCACAGCCATCTCCACCTTTGGCAACAGCCACCCTCGCCATTCAGCAGCCCAGCCATCAGCATCAAGGCAAGACCCTCATACCAGCAAAAAAGTTCTGACTCTTGGAAACCTCAGACAATCATTAGCATGTTTTAGTAATCAAGTTTTTTTTTGTTTTGTTTTGAGAGATTTTTGCTATAGGGCATGTGCACTCGCTGGAGAGATGGAGAGAGACAGAAAGCAAGAAATCACCCCTCAGGGGGATGGCCACACTGCAATCCTTCTCATCCATTCTCCTCCTGGGATCCTGGGCATGCATGCACATGCGCCTGAGTTTGAAGCCACCAGGTCTAGGACTCAAACCACGGTCGGCCTTGTGGGAGTCAAGCAATGTAACCGCTATGCCATCTGCTGGTCCTACAATAAAGTGTTTTTAGATTAAGGTATGTGCATTGTTTTTCAGACATAACGCTATCACATACTTAATAAACTATACTAGTAGAAAGTTAACTTTTATATGCCTTGGGAAACCCCCAAATTTGTGACTTGCTTTACTGTGATTTTTGCTTTACTGCAGTGGTATTTCCAAGGTATGCCTGTATAACATAATCTGTGAACAACCATACAAAAATTGTGTAATATTAAAATTTATATATATAAATTATATAACTTAAAATATGCAAAATTTACCTAAAGTTCCTCATCTGTTAGATTTTCCCCTAGTTCCTTAGCAACCCTCTTGATATTGTTCAGTGTTATGCCTCCAGTATTATCATCATCGAATAATTTGAAAGCCTTCAATAGTTCTTCATTTTCATCCTTTTCACTCTTTAAAAGAAATGTCATTAGTCCTTCGTTTTTTCTGTCTATTCTATTTCATTTACTTATTCTCTTAGTCTACACTTTTGCTTATTTAGTTGATCATTTATTTCATCTGGAATTACTAGATCTCGGAGGTCTAGAGCACCAATATTAGGTTGCTGAATTCTGTCTTTATTAATCTGACTTTATTGAGAGAGAGAGATTTTTGCTATAGGGCGCATGTGCTCACTGGAGAGACAGAAAGTAAGAAATCACTCCCCTGGGGGGGATGGCCACACTGCAGTCCCTTCTCCTCTAATCTCTCTGGATCTGAGCACACATGCAGATGCACCTGGCATGATTTACGCTGACTCTAAACAGTTATACCAGGGACCGGCAGGTGGCATGGTAGTTGGGGCACCAGACTCCCACATGGCCATTCCCAGTTCAAGTCCCAGACCTAGCAGCTTGCTGTCTTGCTTTCTCTCTCTTTTTCTCTGATGACTATAGCAAGTTAAAAAAATAATAAAATAATTCTTTAAAAAAGTACATGCATTTTTAGAAAGAAGGTATCCCAGCATCATCCCTTCCCTCAAGGTATTTATTGAAGCAGAAAAGGCACAGGGTGATAAAGAAAACATATCTCTCATGAACCCTAGTAATTCAGACCCAGTACCAAGAAGGTACCCTCTGAGAGAACAAGGAGGTTGTGTCATTCAAACTCCTTAGAAAGAGCAAAATTGCCACTCAGTATATGTTTGCTGAATTCGAAGCTTCAAAATTCTAGCCCCATTCCCTCTGTTTGGCCACATGTCCTGACAAAAACTTCTGCACTCCAGGTGGTCTTTTTGCTAACACCCAGCAAAAAAACAATTTTTTTGTTATAGGGTGCTTGTGCTAGCCAGAGGAAGGGGTAGTGCAGAGTGAGAAGACACCTTGCCCCCTGCAGGATGGATGGCCACACTGCAATTCCTTCTCCTCCATCCTCCTTGGTATTTGGGGTGTGCACACATGCACATGGCATGATTTTTCAAGCCACTTCCCATCCAGGACTCAAACTACAGAGTGCGCCATGTGAGATCCAGTGCCTTAACCTCCACACCACCCGCTGACCCAGAAAACATCTTTAATCTTTCTGTCCCTATCTTACCCATCCTTCTTGAAAGACTTACTGGGTTGTCAGAGAAGTCATGACGTTTTTTCTATGTTTTTCTATGCAAAAATGCATCATGATTTTTCCGCCAACCCAATAGTTTAATTCTTCCTCTATGAATCCTTTGCTTTCTCTGAAAAGCATGCAAGTCTATTGTCCATATGTCTATCAAAAATGAAATCACAGCTATACCATTTTTATACTCATAATGGCAAAAAAGTCTTCGAAACTAATAGTGCCAGTTCCTTCGCTGTCCATTTCGGCTATCATTCTTTTAATTTCTTCTTTCTTTGGTTCAAATCCTAAGGCCCACATTGCAATCTGAAATAGGAAATAAATTAAGTCATGCTGTCATTCCAAGCTTTTTACTTGCTTACTAATGAATAGCTTTTCCGGTTGTTTGTTTGTTTTGGTTTTGTTTTGTTTTTAACGTTTTTGCTATAGGGTGCATGTGCTCACCAGAGAGATAGAGAGAGAGAGAAAGTGAGAATTCACCTGCAGGGGGGATGGCCACACTGCAATCCCTTCTCCTCCATTCTCCTCTTGGGATCTTCGGCATGCATGCACACGCGCCTAACGGAGTTTTAAGCTACCATATCTGGGACTCGAACCATGTTGGACTATTGGACTATGTAGGGGTTCAGCAACATAACCATTATGCCATCTGCTGGTCCCACTTTTTTTTTTTTTTTTACAATGGACTGGCCCTAAACCTAGAAAAGCAGGTGAGCAGGCCAAGGTTTCCCCCTGCTATGCCATTAGAGTACATCACCGATACACCCTGGCCTTTGATCTACTTGTTTATAGAAGCTCAATTAAAATGCCTAATAAGATATATTGTTAATGTGAGGAAGATGTGTGCACTGACGAAACTTTATATTGAGCTTTCAGAAACTATTTTTTTAAAGAATTATTTTACTTAACTTTATTTTTAATTTGACCAGAGAGGGACAGAAGGAAAGAAGAGAAAGAGAGAGAGAGCACGCGAGTGAGCAAGCACCAGGTCCAGTCCTCGAATCACGGTTGGCCATGTGGGAGTCCAGTGTCATTAACCACCATCCCACCTGCTGGCCCCTCAGAAAACTATTAAAGAAAAGTGTTTAAAGAATGTCATAAACGATATGGCTTTCTAAATATTTTAGAATGAGAAGAACCTTCAATTCTTTCACATCTATGGTTCCAGACCCATCGATGTCGAATAAATCAAAGGCCTCTTTAATCTCTTGCTTTTGGGTTTCATTCAATTCGATTTTTGTTGTTCTTCTCTTCCACTGGTCTGCACTTGTATGGCAGTTGGATGCCTGTAATAAATACACATGTGGGTGAAAGGGAAACCATATGACTGAAAAACTTGCCAGACTCAGAATTATTGAAGAAAACTGAAATCTAGTAAGTAAACTCATGCAGGTATCCTATTTTTTACTATATAATGAGCCTTGACAACTTTTCCCCTTTTCCCATTGCTAACATTTGTGCTTATGGTTATTCATATCTTGGTGTAAAGCTTGTTTTATTTATATGTGTGTATGTGTGTGTGTGTAATATAAATACTTTATTTAACTTTATTTTAATTTGACGAAAGAGACAAAAAGTGAGAAAACAAGCCGCCAAGTCCAGGACTCCTCTAACCGCAGCCAGCCATGTGGGAGTCCAACGCCCTTAACCACTACGCCACCCCCCCAACCCCCCACCCCCGGCTCCAAGCCTGGCTATTATTATTATTATTTTTAATGTACTTAACTTTATTTATTATTTTTTTATTTGAACAGAGAGGGAGGGAGGGGGAGAGAGGGAGAGAGAAAGCAAGCAAGCTGCCAGGTCCGTGGTTGGCCATGTGGGAGTTCAGCGCCCCTAACCACCACACCACCTGCCCAGCCCCGAGCCTGGTTATTTTTAATCACTTCGACTTTTCCTTAAAATTAGTGCCTTTTGAGAGGGAGAAGGGGCAAAGGAAGGCATGCTAGAACGGTGAATGGTGTTATGTCAGAGTACGAGTAGAAACCTGAGCTCCAGCGCCGGCCCCAGGTTACAACTTCACACTCACCATGTCCCCAAACCGCAGAGACCCCCAGGCCGCCCCCCCCCCCCCCCCCCGCCGCCCCGCCCACCACAGTCCTCGCGACACCGGCGGTTGCTAAGGTCGCTCTCCGCGACCGAATTCGGCCCCGCCCACGAAACCCTGTTGATTGACCGTCATAATAACCAGTGAGGAGAAAAGAGGGCCCTCGAGGACAGCCCCCTTGATTCTTCACCAATAGCGTGACGCTCCCACCTTTCCCCGCCCACTTTGTAGCGGGACGCTCCTCGGCTCTGGGTTGCTTAGCGACTAGCCGCCCTTCCCAGCAGCTCGCCGCCTCTTCGCACATGCGCGAACTGCAGACTTGGAAGGGGGCGCGTTCGCTTTGGCATTTGTGTGTCCCTGAACCCGCCTGGGTCGCGTCTGGCGGCGGGAGGCTGGCCTCCTTGAGACTGGACGGAGGAGCGAGGTTAGTAACAAGGTGCCCCCATTGGTATGTTAAGGTTTGGCGCGGACATGGGACGTCCTGGTTTGCTTTTCTGACCTCCGCTGGCGGGAAAAGATGACAATCCAGGACCAGGTAGGCCTGGGGTCCAGAATGGTCCTGAAGCCGGCGGGGAGTAGTAGCAGCGGATGGGACTGTCCTGTGTTCCCGCCGCTGGACGTTCGTCATCATCCACAGTGCCTGGGCCTGGCCTTTAGCCATTGCTTTCCTCCCTGGTCCGGGCAGCGAATCTAGCGTGAAAGACGCCAGGATTTCTGCATTTGGAAGGTCGGGCAGCAGAGTGGGTGGAGGGCAGTGGGCGTGAGGATAGGATGGGTCTGGGATGCACGCGACGCTGCACTGCATAGGCGAGAATGTACGTTGTATGCAGCGCTCCTTTGTGGGGTAGAACTTGGGCCACACCCGTAACCATTATCCAACACCCACACCCTCGAGCTGTGGCCATTTGTCCAGCCACAACAAGTATACGTCGAATGCTTGAGTGCTACACAGCCTGACAATCCAGGTAACTCAGTAATGCCAAGACTTGGGCATTAGACTTAGAAAAATACGACATGATTTTTCCAACAACCCGATAGATAGCATTTCAGTTATGGAGTACCCTGTTTAAAAGTTCTTTTTATTGGGGCCAGCAGGTGGCGTGGTGGTTAACTGTGTTGGATTCCCACATGGCTGACCGTGGACCTGGTGGCTTTCTCACTTTCTCTTTTTCTGTCTCTTTCTTGTCAAATTAAAAAATAATAATAACAAATGGAATTAAAGAAATAAAGATATTTTTAAAAATAAGTTATTTTTATTAGGACCAGCACTTGGCATAATGTTTATATTGCTGGACTCCCATGTAGTCAACTGTGGTTTAAGTTCCGGACTTGGCAGCTTAAGACTCACAGTGGGTGCATGTGTGTGTGTCCAAAATCCTGAGAGGAGAAGGGATTCTGGCATGGCCATACCCCTTTCCACCCCCACACCCCAACACCCGGTGGGGGCTTGGGGGGTGATTTCTTGCTTTCTGCCTCTCTTTGTCTCTGATGAGCACACACACACATAACAAAAAGCTCTCCCTATTATTGAACTGCAAAAGCCTTTTCTTGTAATAGGATATTACATTTTGGATGTAAATTCTTTTTGGGGGGGTGGGGGGGCTTGTGGTTTTATTTAGAAACAAATAAAACATGCACAGAAACGGTCTACTCATTTTCTTCACTGCGCAGCTTGGCACTGGGATTAGCGACTCTGATGGCCAGCTGGGCTGCTCTTTCCACCGTGGCATTGCAGTTCTTGGAGGAAACGTGAGCGATCTCAGTACAGTAAGGCTTAGTACGCATCAGCAGCACTTCCAGCTCATTGACGTTATGGACCAGGAACTTCCGGAAGCCACTGGGCAGCATGTGCTTTGTCTTCTTGTTGCTCCTGTAACCGATGTTGGGCATCAAGATCTGGCCCTTGAATCTCCTCTGCACCCTGTTGTCGATACCTCTGGGTTTCCACCAGCTGCGCTTAATTTTGTCATAAAGGTCTGACTGGTGCCGGATGAACTTCTTGTTCCTCTTTTTGATGATCTCGGGTTTCACGAGGGGTCAGAGGGCAGCCACGAAGCCAGCTAGGAGATGGCTGCCACCTCCACAAGGCAGCCCTGAGGTCTACTCCTCCTAGTAACTCTGAAAGGCAGAGTAGTTAAATGACTTGCTAAAGATTACACAACTCGTATGCAGGAGAGCCAAGTTCAACCCAGACTTCTGCATTCAGAGATAGATGGTCCCCAAATGATGAAGGTTTAGCTTACAGGTTTTTAGCTTTATGATGGTGTAAAAGCAACGTGCGCTTGGAGTCACCATACTTCAAATCCCCGTCTAATCATTCTGTTTTTCACTTTCAGTGCTACTGTACTAAAATGATAAATTGCATGAGACATTCAACACCTGACTATAAAATGGGCTTTGTTAGGTGATTTTGTGCAGCTGTAGGCTAATATAAGTGTTCTGAGTACATTTAAGGTAGGCTAGGTAAGTGATGATGATCAGCAGGCTAGGTGCATTGAATATACTTTTAAATCAGGCTTCCATGGATTTATCAGTATGTAATCCCATTGGTAAGTCATGGAAAGTCTGAAATGATTTCAAACACTACCTCAAATTGTTCCACAATTTTCCTTACTTAAAACACTTAGTGATTAGTGGTTCCCATTGCAAGATTAAATTTAAGCTTTTTGGCATGACACATAATGTCCTTCATGATCTAACTCCTTTCCCTCCAGAGCTTCATCTCCTACTGTTCCCCACTATGTTCTGAATATTCCCCTAAAACAAAACTACTCGTATTACTCCTAATACACAGATATTGTACTTGCTATCACCTCTTTCTCCTCACTAATTCTTTTTAGTTGTTGTTCAAGACTTGTTACAGGGATTGTCTTCTCTGGAAACATTGCCTGCTGTCTGCTTGTTCCATTTCCCTTGTTGGGTAGGGTGTACCTCCTCCATGTCCCCGTGCTTTTATCATTAACATTGTTATAACCCTGTTTCATTGCACTTACTGTATTTATAGAATTATGTATATCTCAAAGACGGGACCAAATCTTATTTTTCTTTTTGTTTGTATTCATAACCATACATTGGACTAAATAAAGTTCCAAGTTTGTACTTCATTTGCAGATAATGGTCTACAGTCATGGCTTGCAGGGTCATAAACAAAAGAAGGCACGCAGGACTTCAGCAGCTTTCATCATTTGCAGAAACAGGAAGAACTTTCCTAGGCCCAGTCAAATTATCCAAATTTATTATAGATGAAGAGAGTCACGAAAGCATTTTAATCAGTTCAACAGTAAGACTTCTTGAAAGTTTGGATTTAACCAGCGCAGTGGGACAGCTTCTCCATGAAACAGTTCAAGCACAACACAACACATACAGAACCGGAACCAGTACTCTCTTGTTTCTTGTTGGCGCGTGGAGCAGTGCTGTCGAAGAATGTCTTCATCTGGGTGTTCCCATTCCTGTGATAGCGTCAGTAATGTCGGAAGGCTTGAGCTCTTGCAGTGAAGAGGTGGTTTCCCTTCAGGTACCTGTCTCCAATATATTTGACGATATGGACAACACAAAAACATTTTCTGAACTTGAACCATTTAGTGTTGGTTTATGTCCATTTCTCCAAGGCCCTTCAAATACTCATTGGATACAGGAAGACTGTGATCTGAGAGATGTTCGCTCTCAACCACGGACCGTTTTCAGTCTTTCTGCGAGCGCTGTTAAGTCACCTAAATTCTTCAAACCTCAGGTTAAGGTTGAAGCAGACCAAAATACATCACAAACTCTGAAAACCAGTGTCCTTGCAGATACCTGCCACAGAAGGTCAGTATTGATCCACAGTAGGCATTTTAACAGGAGGGGTAATAATCAGATAAACAAACCAGATGGTGTTCTAGAACATCACGGAGCAGCTACACCCAAAACTTCTGGATGTAACAGTCTGCTGGAGTTGGCAGTGGGCTTGAGTCATGGCGACCACAGCAGCATGAACTTAGTAGAAGCAGCAGCACGGCTACAGTGGCAGAGCGCACGTGTGCAGCCAGGCAGCCGCACGGTGCCTTTTACATTTGACATTTCAAGAATCTACACATGTTGTCTACCAGGTTTACCAGAAACGTTTTCTTGTGTTTGTCCAGGTTATATCACTCTCATATCAATGTCTAGTAGTACTCTGGTCAGGGAATTGCAGAATCAGCCTGTCCGGGTAGTTCTCATTGAAGGTGACCTCACAGAGAATTATCGCCACCTCGGATTTAATAAGTCTACAAATGTTAGAACAGTATTAGATAGCGTGAAGCTTCAGGAAGACACTTCAGAAGAACTGTGGGCGAATCACGTATTACAAGTATTAAGCCAGTTTGATGTGAACCTTGTCCTGGTACAGGGAAACGTATCTGAATACTTAGTTGAAAAATGCAGACAGAGTAAGCGGTTGGTGATCGGCTCAGTGACAGACAGTGCGATGCAGGCGTTTGCAGAGGCTGCAGGAGCAGTGCAGGTGGCCTACATGACACAAGTGAATGAAGGCTGTGTGGGCAGAGGGGTCTTTGTGACCTTCTGGAGAAGCAGTTCCTTGGATATTGTAGATGGGAACAACAGAATGGCGATCTTGTTAAAAGCAGAAGGAATTCGTTTGGTTACCGCAGTGCTCACTAGCCCAGTCACTGCGCAGATGCAAACCAAGGAAGACAGGTTCTGGACTTGTGCCTACCGTTTGTTTCATGCCCTAAAAGAGAAAAGAGTCTTCCTTGGAGGAGGTGCGGTTGAATTTTTTTGTCTTAGCCATCTTCACGTTCTCGCAGAGCAATCTCCAAAGAAAGGAAACCATGCCTGCTCAGGATGGCTTCATAATACTTCCTCTTGGCTGGCCTCATCTCTGGCAATCTACAGACCTACTGTGCTCAAGTTCCTGGCAAACGGATGGCACAAATACCTCTCGGCTCTCATGTGTAACACTGCTATTTCCTCATCAGAATTTGAAGCCAGCACATGTATTCAAACTCATCTACAAAATGCCATGGACTCTGGCTCTCCTTCATCTTACATCTTGAATGAATATAGTAAATTAAATAGTGGAATTGTTAATTCAGGCATTTCAGGTAAACCGGAGAAGATCCCAAGAGTTTATGACATTGTTACACCAAAGATTGAAGCGTGGCGCCGAGCACTGGATCTGGTGCTGCTGGTGCTTCAGACAGACAGTGAAGTTATTACTGGACTTGGGCACACACAGAAAAGCCCACAGGAACTAGAGGGCTATTTATTTTTGTAGTGTTACTAGCTAAGTCTTTGGAAATTACTCTTTTATAATGTATCATGATAATAATAAATTTACTAGTAGCTAAATTATAATGCCTTAATACCAGCTATAGGTTTAGTATCCCTTATTGAAACTAGCTGGGACCAGAAATGTTTTGGGTTTTGGATTTTTTCACATTTTGTAATATTCGCATATGAGATGAGTTGGGGGTGGGACCAAAGCCTAAACACAAAATTTATTTGTATTTCCTATACAGTGTGTACTTAGCCTGAAGATAATTTCATACAATATTTTCAGATTGCAGTATTCTTTCTGTGACCTGTCATGCAGTCACTTGTGTCATGTTGGTGCTAAAACATGAAATATTTCAAGTTTCAAATTAGGGATGTTAAAAAAAAAAAAATAGGTGATATCTTCCGATAACTGAGATTTTACTCTACTTACAAGCTAACAATTTTTAACCTGTTATTGTTTCATGGACTGTTACAGAATACACAACATACACAACACATCTGGGTCAAAGACAGAGGACTTTACTATTCACAGCAAAAGCTGTAACTAGAACTTCATGTTTTCATCAGTTCCCCCTTTTTCTAAGTCCCACAAGAATAGCACAAAGGGCCAATGTTGGAAGCTTGTGCATGGTGGGTTGTGTTGAAATAGAGGAACGCTGAGCTTGGGATAGTCGCTGATTTTTTTTAAGCATATGTGATCCTTTCATGAGAGTGAGAAACAGAGACAGGTACCCTCAACAGGGTCTCACACCTTGAGTCCTTTCCCAGCTAGCCAGGATCATGGATGTATGCCAGACACGTTCAGGCAGATGGGAGGAGCTGAATCCCCACCCTTCCATGTGGATCTAGTTTCATTTGAGAAGGACATTACCACTGTGTCACTGAGCCAACCCTTTACTGCTTCTATAATAAGCAAAAACTAATTGTGTTCTTTGCGCAAGTTGTTACCTCACACTTGACGGTTGCTTAGTGTAAACACAAGCCTGGTACATGGACTGGAGAGAGATCAAGTTCTTGGATCCTCAGTGTACCCAGTAAGCCGGCAGGGATGCCAGAGCCCATAGTGGGTAGCCCCTTCTAACAATCCACCAATGGCTTGCCAAACCTGAATTTTCACGTGAGTATACCACAGCATTGGATACTCTGATTATCTGACAATTAGGTTTTTTCAGTACCAAATCTATTTGATTGTTTCACGTAGCAATTAATTAAGACTCCTACAACAGACAAGGAGCAACGGGATGAAGCCAGTTTGCAGTATTGACCTCAGTCTTGTCTCTCAAGGTCTTCCAGTCAATATGAGTTCCTAGAGTGGAACAGCAGGTCTTTTCTTAAATTAAGCATCCAGAATACAGTCAAAGGCTAACCTGTTAAACATCATGACCTGGGTAAAGAGCTTTGACTGATGCGCTGATCTCTGAGTCATCGCTAATAATTATGGGAACAATAAATGGGTCAAACCCATGCCCTCTATGGAGACGTGTTCCATGGCCTATTTTCTCCATATACAAGGGCATAATCCAGGTTATTCCAGTTCAGAATTGTTGTCAAACCTGATTTCAATCACCTTCATAGAGATTTTTGACTAAGCCACCAGGTATTATAGTATGGCTGATTGCAGTTGCAGTCACAGCCTTAATTGCCATTCATGGTATCGTTCTGAGATCAGTCAGATCAAATCAGGGTTGTGCTGATCCCTGTCTTTCTGCATTGATGGCATCAGCAGATGCCCAGCAGATGGCAGAGTTCGTCCATCTTCTATATGCATGGCAATGCTCCAGATGAGGAGTCTGAACATTTATGTATGTAACTCACACACCACTGCAGCTCCTCAGTGCCCAGAGTCCTGGTATCTTTTACAGTGTTTGGGCCCAGTATCCCTTTCCTCCATGGGACTGGGTTGAATGATGTCTTGGACTCCAATATTGAATATCAATGAAAGTTTGAGTCATTTTCTTCCTCAAAGTCTCCCATGATACTTGACTTTTTACTTAAGGCAACTGAGATCAGGGTGGAGGGGTAGAATGTCACCATGCCAGTAAATGATGGTTTGCATTTACTTTTGATCTTGATTGGTTGTGCGTCTTAGTTCATGTTCTGCTTCTGTGACAGAATATATAGACTGGATATTTTATTTATTTATTTGAGAAAGATTGTTGCTATAGTGCATGTGCGCTTACCAGAGAAAGAGAAAAAGGCAGAGAGACAGAAAGCGAGAAATCACCCCGTGGGGGAGGGGGGGGGATAGCCACCTTCATTCTCCTCTTGGGATCCTAGGCACACATGTACACAAGTTTTGTTTTTTTGTTTTTTTTTTGTTTTTTTTTTTGTTTTTTGCTATAGGGTGCATGTGGTTGCCAGAAAGACAGGACAGACAGAGACAGAGAGACAGAAAGACAGAAATCACCTGCCAGGGAGAATAGCCATGCTGCAATCCCTTCTCCTCCATTCTCCTCGCGGGATCTTGGGCACATATGCACACCCGCCCAGCGTGAGTTTAAGCCACTGGGTCTGGGACTCGAACTGCCGTCAACTACACGGAAGTCCATTGACATAGCCATTATGGCTACTGCTGTTCCCAACCCCAGCGTAAGTTTTAAGTCACCAGGTACAGGACCCAAACTGCAGTAGACTATGTGGGAGTCCAACAACATAACCATTACGCCATCTGCTGGTCCCAACTGGGTAATTTATAAATAAACAAATTTATTTGGCTCATGGTTCTAGAAACTAGGAAGTTCAAAAGCAAAACATCAGCACCTGTCAAGGGCCTTTATGCTGTGTCATCCCACAGAAGAAGGCAAAAGGAAGGTCTAGTGAGTGTATAAGACAGAAAAAAAGACCAGACTCCTGCGATAACTAATCCACTCCCGTGATAATGGCATTCATTGATCTCTCACAGCAAGGCAACTATTATTCATATTTGTGGTATGGGCCCAGCCTCATGGACAGTCCATAGCATACTGGACTGCAGCGCTGGAAGCCACATGGCTACCTGAGGTTCCAATCTCATTTCTGTTTTACCTGAAATGTGCACACACCCGAAGTCCTGACAGGCTGGAAGAAGGATTATGCCGTGACCTGGCTCTGTCAATGACAGAGTGCTTCTCTCTATGCATGTGGACACTTTCTACTATCAATTTTTAAATAATTGGGGTGTGACTTCCCTGGCTGCTTCTATATGCATGGATGTAGATGCGTTTTTACCTCCTGAAAGTGGAATCATACTGAACACACTGCCATATGATCTACTTCCATCAGTATGTTAAGAAAGTTCCTTAATACCTTTAAATAGAGTTCAGTAAAATAGTTTCAATGGCATCACATACTTTCCCAGCAGAGAAATATATAGTAATTTATTTCAACCATATTCTGTTACACATTTAGGTCAATTCCAGTTTGGAAGCTATTAAGGGTATCATAAATGTACTTGCAACTTTTTTATTCATGATTCTTTCCTCTGATAAATTCTTAGAGATGGAAACTGGGTTGCAGGACCAGCAGATGATGTAATGGTTACATTACTGGACTCCACCCAGTCAACTATAGTTCGAGTCCTGGACTCAGCAGCTTAAAACTCATACCAGGCACGTGTATGTGCATGCCCAAAATCTTGAGAAGAGAATGGAGGAGAAGGGATTGCTTGCAATGTGGCCATAGCCCTGGTGGGTGATTTCTCGCTTTCTGTCTCTGTCTCTCTCTGTTATCTCTCCAGTAAGCACGCTTGCCCTATAGCAAAAAAAAAAAAAAAAAAAAAAAAAAAAAAAAAAAAAAAAATTGGTTTGACAAATTTGAGTGAAAACGCAATTTTATTTTAATTAAACTGTTTTTGGTTATTAGGAAGAAAAGAATGGTGATTTTTCTTTATTTAAAAAAAAAGTTTCCTCCTATGTCACTGGACTTGCATGTAGCCAACCGCGGTTCGAGTCCTGGACCCCGTGGCTTAAACTCATGCTGGGCCCGTGTGCATGCATGTCCAAGATCCCGAGAGGAGAACAGAGGAGAAGGGATTGCGGTGTGGCCATCCCCCCCGGGGGGTGATTTCTCGCTTTCTATCTCTCTGTCTCTGTCTTTCTGGCGAGCACAGGCACCCTGTAGCAAAAAAAAAAAAAAAACTCTCAGAAAAAAGTTTCCTCCTTTGTGTTATGTTTAGGAAAGTCTTCTCAACTTTAAGAAGTATTCTGATCCAATCACATGCTCTTAGTACTTTTCTGGTCTTACTTATCTCTCACATTTAAATATTTAACCCATCTGGGATTTATTTTAGCAGACAGTATGGGCTAAGGCTCTAAATTAACTTTTCCTAAATGGTTATCCTGTTGTCCCTACATCAGTATAGGATTTCTAGATATTTCTTAGCAACAAGGAGGAAATACCAGCAGAAACAGAGTTCAAGTTCCCAGTTGTGCTAAGAAACGTGCTCTTGCCTTTCTCATGGATTCATAACTGTTCAGCATTTTATCATTTTTCCTGCCACCATGGCAGCATACCCTATTGAAAAAGAATAATTGAAACTTGTTGCAAGGTCTCCCCTTTGATAAACGTGTTATATTATATTGAAGGCCAATCTTCCCAAGAAGTGTTTTTAAACACACATTTGCTTCTTTTCATCAAAGCTTTGCTGAGGAACCTAAAGATGTCTTCTTTCCTGTGACCCATAGGTGGCAAACTTCCACTCTTACGTACTTTCACATTTTTGACATGCAAATTTTAAGTGCACAAAAATGAGAGAGAAGATTACTTTGGTGCAGGTTAGCATAAAGTTGTAAGTAAGGGCTTAAAGGGAACTCTGTGGGCCGTTCGCTTTTAAATTTTTTGTATGTTTTGAGCATAGACTAGGGTCAGAGTCCCAGCTGTGCTGTGAACTAATGGGAACTTGGGCAAGTGATTTAAGTTCCCTTGGCTTGTTAACTCGCCCTTAAATTGCAAAGTCAAACGAGGTCATTCCTATTGTAGTATCCAACTCCAAATTTTGCAATGCTTGTTGCCAGTTTATATTCCTGAAAGATTTTGACTAGTGAAACTCATCTGAAAAGGGGCAAAAATGTCAAAGAATTACTGCTTAAGATTATATTAAGACCAGACTTGATTTTATTTTTAAAATATATTACTGGTGCAACGATGTGAATATACTTAATACCACTAAAAGTGATTAAGATGATAAATTTTATGTTACATATATTTTACCATAGTTAATGTTTTTAAGTAATAAAATTTATTTCCAAAAATTTGTTACACCATGTTTATAGTGAGGGTTTCAAAAATTGACCAGTTACAGAGTCAAACCATTATAATAACTTATTTTATTACAAATCAGAAGAAATACAATGGAGAATTAAATAGTTCTCAGGCCAGCCAGGAGCATGGTGAGTAAGGTGGCTGAATCCCACATGGCCTTCAGTGCAGTTTGAGTCCTGCACCCAGCTGCTTGAAAAACACACCAAGTGTGTGTGCATGCATGCCCAAAATCCTGAAGGGAGGGAGAAGTGGAGAAGGGATTGTGACATAACCATGCCCTGTGGGAGTGCTTTTTCACCTTCCCTCTCTGTCTCTGGTGAGCACACACCCTCACTGGCAAATTTTAAAAACAGTAACTTTGTCAAATATATGGAAATAAATGAATTTACACCTATTGTCACTACAACCGTATCGGTAAACTGCAATGTGAAAAGGAGACTATAAGGGGCCAGAGAGCGGTGCAGCAGTAAAGGTGGTGCTGGGCCAAGCCGATTCACATGGGAAGGTTCCAGGTTCGCTTCCAGGGACCTTCCCAAACATGTGCGCAGGCTGGGCCTGAAGGCAGATCTAAACCAACCATTAGAGGCAGGTTAGCGGGCCAGCCAGGGGCAGAGGCAGTAGGGTGCAGTTGGGCAATACCAGTGCCCTATGGGAGGGCTGGGTTTGGTCAGATCCTGGGCCATTCTGAGCACACCAGGCGTGCCCATGCACACCTGTGATCCTGGATGGCTGGAAGGCAGGGGGAGTTGTGGCAAGTGGGATCCTGTCAAAGGTCCCTCCACCTCTGTCTCATATAAGAAATTAAAAAGGAAAGCCAGGTTAGTGACTAGTCAGGCTATCTTTGGGGAGAAGGCAGGAAATAAGATGGCAAAGAGAACAAGGAGGGTAGGCAGTGTTCTTGTTCCTTATCCTGGGTGGTGGCTACAGGGGCGGGCTCCCTTTGTGATTGTTTATTTTTTAGCTCCATGTAGTTTTTAAGAAATGCCATTTAAAAACAAGAACACACTATATGTACATTTTTGTAAAGTTCAAAACATTTATGATTTGTGTTTTGGGAAGACTGAATTGTCAAAGTGGGTTAAAAAAAGTCAGTCTTTTCCATGTGAGAATGCAGTAAAGATTGATCAAGATACTTAAAACATAAAAGAAAAGCTAGTCCATGGATATGAAGATGATAGTAGAGGTCATTCAGTATTTGAATAATTTGCCAAAGAAGGCAATAGAATTTCTCTGCTCAGAGCTCTCTGAAAAATAACTTTGTTGGGAACCAGCAGTTAGTAATGGCTATGTCGCTGGACTCCCACGTGGTCGACCGCGGTTCGCGTCCCGGACCCGGTGGCTCAAAACTCACGCCGGGCACGTGTGCATGCGTACCCAAGATCCCGAGAGGAGAATGGAGGAGAAGGGATTGTGGCGTGACCATCCCCTCTGGAGGGTGATTTCTCACTTCCCGTCTCTATGTCTCTGTCTGTCTGTCTGGCGAGCGCACACACCCTATAGCGAAAACCTCTCCAAAAAAAAATAAATAACTTTGTTGTAAAAACCAGTCCTACATGGAGCCAGTAGGTGGCATGGAGGTTAAGGTGACGGAAGCCCACCTGGCCAACTGTGTGGTCTGAATCTCAAACCTAGCAGCTTGAAAAACTGGGTGCCTGTGTGTCCAAAAATCCAAGAGAATGGAAGAGATTGAGGCGTGCCTATCCCTCCTGTGGGTGATTCATTCTCTCTCTCTCTCTCTCTGTCTCTCTCTCATTCCAGAGAGCACACATATCTTATAGGAAAAAATAATAAAAAATTTAAAATAAAAATTAGTTCTGCTTTGAGACAATGTCTTAGGATAATTTACCAGATAATATTTAAGACTTAAATAAACCTTTATAAGTAATTTTCATTTTGGAAATCAAAAATAAAACACAACAAAATAAAATCTCAGATTCTTGAATTCCTATACCAGGATCCTTGCCAGAGAGACTTAAGATAATTCATTTATTTTTAGTTACAGCAAACTTTATTTTACTCTAGTACACTCTCCATTCAGCTGAATTTCCCTAGGCTCAATTTAATGTTTGTTTTTGTTTTACTTTTTCCCCTCTTACCATTGTTACAAGTATCTGTTCCTAATTGTTGTCAATATGCTGACAGTCCTAGACTCGCTTTCCTTCTTCCTTTACTTACTGTTTTCCAACTCTGTGATTTAGTGCCCGGTCACTGCTTTCTTGATGTGCCCCTGGCTTTCATGACTTTATTATCCCTTGTCATGTTTCTTTCACTCTGCTCGTATGTCTAAGACTCTCAGTTTCTAGATCTGACTGCGGTACAGTAGGTTCTGGAAAATGTCCACTTCCTTTCGCAATCATGGCTGTAGACGAAAGCCGTATGTTCAGCCCTGCTCAGTGTTGACTCCTTTGGCTCCAGGATTACATCTTTAGAATTGGGCCAGTTGAGGGCTAGCTGGTGGTGTGGTGGTTGAGGTGGCTGGATCCCACCAGGCCCACTACACCGTCCAAGTCCTAAGCACCAGCTGTTCAAGATAATTACTTAGGCACCAGTTGATACATTATTATAGTAACACAACTGTTAAGAGCTTCTCAGAGCAAAGCATTTTTCTTTGTGGTTGATTTTTCATGTATTATTTTCTTTCACTCTTTACTGAATTTTCTAAACCTAACTATTCCAAGAAAAGATACATTCCTCCACATTATTATGTTCTATTTCCTTTTTAAAATAGGCATTGGCTGATAACAACAGCTGCCAAATAATAAGCACCATCTTTATTGTTCACATTTTATTGAGAAGTTAACCGAGGCACAGAGGTGTTATTTTGGCAAAGTAGGAGGAGACCTAGACTTCTTTTTTCTTGTTTAGTTTTTCTGTAGGGTTCATAAACTTGCTGGAAGGAGAGAGAGAAACAAAGTGAGAAATCATCCCTCCCAGGGGGCATAGCACACTGCAGTCCCTTCTCCTCCACTCTCCTCTTAGGATTTTGGTCTTTCATGCACACGCACCTGGCATAATTTTCAAGTCACTGGGGCCGGTTCTCAAACCACAGTTCGACCATATGAGAATCCAGTGCCTTAACCACCAGATCACTTGCTGGCTCCCAAGTAACAATATAGTTTATACTTACCACCTTATTCTGAATTTTGCACTTACCGTGCATTTTTTTTTCTTATTTACTATCTATTATTGCTCTCCTAACTAGAGAAACTCTCATGTCCATCTCTCTGGTACACAGGGAAGTGAGTGAGAAGTGTCCCTGTAACACCTCTGCATGAGTTTCCCATACTGCTGTGCTCCAGGACCTACCAAGCAGGGTCCACCAAGATCAGGGCAGACTGCAAGTCCAGTCGCTCTCACGTGGCTTTTGTGACTCTTTCTGAGGTACAGGGTTTTCAGGGCACCACGGCCGAGCTTTTCCTCCAGCTCCCAGCCACCTTCCTGATCTGCAGTCTCTCTTAGTCTTTTCCTCCACAATGTTTCCTTCACCCCCCTCCTGTTGTGAAACAGAGCTGTGTAAGCCATCTTCACAGAACTCCCTGCCTGTTCTCGTTAATTTGCTGCCCTTTCCCCAATTATCTAATGTTTCCCACTATGCTACCAGGAATCAGAACAAGTATGAGTGATCGATTGCTATGTAATAAATCACCCCAAAACTTAGTGGTTTAGAACAACAATTCTTTTATTTCTCAGGACTCCGAGTTGGCTGACTCCTCTGCTATTTGGCCTTGGCATACGGCTGGGAGGGCCAGCATGACCTCAGGCACTTAGCTGGCAGTCGGATGGCTACCAGCTGGAACACATTGCATCTCTTCCATGTAACCACTCATCAGGAAGGTGGACTGACTTACCTGGTGTGTCCATCTCAGGCCCATTCCTGAGATCAAAGGCCTTTCAAGGTCTTGTTTAGAAGTCCACAGCTACACTTCTAACACACTCTTTTTGTCAAAGCACGTGACAAGGACAGGTCAGATTCAAAGTAGAGGGGCTAACTGTCTCTTGAGAGGATGAGATACAAAAGAGTACATGTTTTCCAATCTCTTACAATGCCAAAAGAGGAAAAATGGGCTAGACCAAGTGCCTTGAAGTGAAAAGGTTCATTGAAGCCCAAATAAAATACGACTTTGCTTTTCATTCAGGTAAGTAAGAATAACAGCAGACTAAACACTGTCAGTTCCAATCACTACAATGAAATCACTGTAACACTAACAGGTCACAAGGAAATTAAGAAATTGTCTCAGGCTCAGAAAGTATTTGTAAGAGGAAGTGGAGGTACTAAGTCTTGTTTCTCCAGGCAAAGTGACCAGACAAGTGCACTTTCCAAACGCAGAGCGTTATGCTAATCACATTCTGAGCCACTGTAGTTAAAGATAGAATAGAGAACACTAGCCAAAGATTTTTTTCATTTAAAAGTCGATTTACAAATGAACCCCCTTATGTAGTCATCAGTTTGCCAACATTAACTGATAGGAGTTTGTATTTTTATTGCCACCTGCATCGCATAAGTGGGGAAAGTTAAATGACATCATTAACATAATGCATCTGTTGAAATACCTGGCTTACCTTAGCCCCTAAATATAATACATATAGTAATTATATATTATATATATTTAATTATATATTGTTTTA